AAATAGTGAGCGGTGATTATCCTTCTTCCAGGTATAGGTATATATGTAATAATGATACAAAATGTCCATATGCCAACCATGTTTGCCTTTACAGGCGACTATGCTTGTCGTAAGAGGCGACTAACGCGATCGGGTGGTCATGACTTGGTTGATGCATGTCATCGTATCTCAAGTGCGTAGATCGATGCTCATGATATTAATCGCTGGATTGTCTGGTCCAGACTCGATTATTTACAGACCGCCGTCATATAGCTGGAATATTGCTGAGTGCGGCGTTAAACAACGAACCAAACCAAAAACCACAATGCTAAGAACAGCTGCTCTGAGTGAATGTGCAGCAAATTCCCATCTGTGTCAGAACGACTGTAACTCAATCGGGCCTTTGTCAAGCAGGGGAAGCTTAATACTCAGTCTTCATATTCTAAATTTATTAAAGAATTGTAAATAAGTTGAATCCACACGAGTCGAATATATACACACATTCGTGACGTGTAAGTTCATCACCAGACCACGTGCTGTTGTCTATTAATCTCAAATATAAGGCAAGTCTATATTCCTCACGTTATTCCACACAGCCAATGACTGTGATGCGGAGATGCAGCTGGGATGGCATCGATCCGAAGTCACGCGAGCCAGTCACAACACCTAGCCGGCTGTTGTCAAAACGTGTCCAACATACACTGACACATCATGTGCTGTGTTAAAATTAGTACACCAAAACTGTTGGAAAGCTAAAGAAACCGAAAGAAGGATGAATCATTGGGCGATCTGAATCTATTTTCTCTGCTGGCGTTGCACGGAGTCATGGCCGAAAGAATGTGTAACATACAAAAATAAATAGGACAAATATATCCGAAGTAAATATACATATTGTTGTAACACTCTAAAGACAAAAACAACGAAATTCAGGGGTTCGCCGATTTCCTGGTTTCCTGTCGTGGAAATGATTTGCCAGCCGACCTATTTATTTCACAATCCAAAATGGAAACAATCATAGTTCTTACATTTTACTCAGTTACTTTTTTTTTAACAATTGTTCAGGTCTAATCCGTGGTCTAATGGTAGAGCGGAATGTCGGGGTTCGATCCATGGCCGCTTCATACCTAAAGTCGTTAAATGTGGTACTTGTTGTTACCCTGCCTGGCGCTCGGCATTAAGGGGCTAAAACAAGGACTGGTCGGCTCGGAGTCAGTAAACTGTGTCTTAGTGGGAACACTTCGCTTCTTCAATAATAAGTTCAATAATCTAGGACGCCAAGTTAACCCCCATCACCTCGATGATGCGAGCCACTTTGCACAGACGATTCAGGATCTGGTTAAAAATCTACTTAGAATATCGAAGCATAGTTCAAATATCCAAGTTTTTTGTTACTCCACATTCTAGCAGTACCATGCAGTCCCGTGGGTAATAAATTCAATCAAATACTGCAAATTTGATGTAATTAGCAGTTCACCAATAAAATGACCACTGTGAACATGTGTCTTCAGCTAGCCTTTCCCTTTGATCCAGCTCTGAAATATTTATAGTCAAGACGTTTCCACGAGATTTTCCGAAAATATATGTACCACGATACGTATTGTATCGTGACCTTCATCCCTGCAAAATTCCAGTTGTACCATGCAGCCCTGTAGGTAATATAGTCAGAACAACATTCCAGCTGTACCATGCAGCCCTGTAGGTTATACAGACGGGGCAATATTCCAGCTGTACCATGCAGCCCTGTAGGTAGTATAGACGGGGCAACATTCCAGCTGTACCATGCAGCCCTGTAGGTAGTATAGACGGGGCAATATTCCAGCTGTACCATGCAGCCCTGTAGGTAGTATAGACGGGGCAATATTCCAGCTGTACCATGCAGCCCTGCAGGTAATATAGTCAGCACAATATTCCAGCTGTACCACGCAGCCCTGCAGGTAATATAGTCAGGGTAATATTCCAGCTGTACCATGCAGCCCTGTAGGTTATACAGACAGGGTAATATTCCAGCTGTACCATGCAGCCCTGTAGGTTATATAGTCAGCACAATATTCCACTCTACCATGCAGCCCTGTAGGTTATATAGACAGGGCAATATTCCACCTGTACCATGCAGCCCTGTAGGTTATATAGACAGGGCAATATTCCAGCTGTACCATGCAGCCCTGTAGGTTATATAGACAGGGTAATATTCCATCTGTAACATGCAGCCCTGTAGGTTATATAGTCAGCACAATATTCCACCTGTACCATGCAGCCCTGTAGGTTATATAGACAGGGCAATATTCCACCTGTACCATGCAGCCCTGTAGGTTATATAGACAGGGTAATATTCCACCTGTATCATGCAGCCCTGTAGGTAATATAGACAGGGCAATATTCCACCTGTATCATGCAGCCCTGTAGGTTATATAGACAGGGTAATATTCCAGCTGTACTATGCAGCCCTGTAGGTTATATAGACAGGGCAATATTCCACCTGTACCATGCAGCCCTAAAGGTAATAAAACCTGGACAAGCCAAACCAAGAGCATCAAGAGCAATATAGTTCACACTCTCAGGGAATGCCATTACATATTTATGAAGTACTTTCTTCATCTTCAAATTCTTGATAAAGGATAACAAGATGCAGTGAAAAAGGAATGTATTATATTTAATTCTATAACACTAAAAGACAAAATACATTTCAATGTAATGGCCATTTGCTAGGTGAAAATATAAAGGCACCATTCAACTGAACTACTGCACTTTACTGCAGTGGGAACCACTTAAACAGAACAGGTACTCAGATAAAGGTTCAAGTATCTGATTAACAAATATATTTTAAGTAACACCATGCTTTTGTGTGGAATTCAAGGTACATTTCAGGCCAGAACACTCCCTTCTATTATTCCTTCCAAGAAAAATGTCTGTCCATGAGTGAGTGAATGTAATTTTATGCTGAAGTCAGCAATATTTCAGCTATATCCTAGAAGAATGTAAATAATCAAGACTGGACCCCCAAACCCTGCTTGACAAAATTAGCCAGGGCTTCCACAAAGCGATCGTAGAGCTATATTCATTTAAAGCATGGAAGTTACACCATCTTAGTGCTAAGATCACTTAGCGCCCTGGGCACAAGTTGTAAGCACTATATCCTATGGAAGTGACAACAAGCGCATGGTACTGGGGGCCTATTCCTTAACAGTCAAACATGATGGTACAGATTCTTCTGTCTAGTTTATTATTTAATACTTTGCCAAACAAACTGACTGCGTCCTTGTATATAGCATAAGTATAATAGGACCAAGACATGATCGCAAATGATTCTTTAGTGAACTTCATTCATAAGTTAAATGTTACGATTTCCATGTACAACAATTTCTGACTTGAACAATCATCCATGTCATGATAATGTTTTATTCTGTTTAAGTGGCATGGCGATTCACACTAAAATGTTAATATGGAGACTAAATGCTGTATATCTTGACAAATGTGTCTTCACAAGCAGTCATACGTTGATGACATCTGTCGGAAGAGGCTGTACTGTTCAGACCAATGAATCAGCTTATGTCTGAGTCTATCATGTGCATGAACAAAGCTCTGTGGATGACACAGGATGATAAAGCACCATTGTAATGACACTAACAGACGGAACAAGTTCAGGAAGAATTTGCTTGTTCTCATGATCTATCCTTTCCTCGACAGGGACCGATTTTTATCTTGCCCATATTATTTTTTTCATTATTGTAATGAACAACCCTGTCCTCCATTAAGTAATGATAATAATAATGATATAAATGCTTTTCCAAAAAGTAACATATGATTATGTTTTATTAAAACTTATAATACAACATGTTTCTTGTGTAAAATAGAACATCAAAATCAACATATTTCAATTTTAATCAAATCATACATCTCTTATTTTGTATTGAGATTGCTTCTTTGCAGCCGACCTTACACCTCTAGTTTCTCCTGTATCTAGACATTGCTGATATGAAAAACATGGAAAAGAATTGGTCGAATCATCTTTGAAAGTAATATTTTGGATTCATGATGAATATTTGACCCGAAAAAAAAATCAACTTCTCGGATGGCTTATTTTTTTGTTTAATTGTATCAGTGGCAGTCATGATACACAAAGATTCTTCGACCTCATAACCAGGTTTGTCCTGAATATTGTAAAACCGTCATAGTCCAGGCCCTGTTAATATGACACCTCGTCTTTAGGACGATTATTTTACATTGAGTCAAATGGCATTTCTTCATAGCCATGATTTGTAAATCAGAACACAGAAAGATCTGACAAACTCTCTGACCCCTGGTTACCCCTAGGAAAAGTTGACCAGCCGCTGGAAATAGAAGAAGTAACACCCTGTACACTGGAACCTCGTTGTGTCCAACTTGGATGTTCCGAATCCCTGGTTGTCTCAATCCCTGGGAGTCCCAAGTATCCACATTAAGCAAAACATTTCACTCATGTCCTGAACTCTGGAAAGCTTGAAGTTTCCATATTAAGATCTCTGGTTATGTTCACCTTGACTTTAACCTCAAGTGTGAGTTAGTATGGTTTTACGCCACTCTTAGAAATATTCCAGCAAAATCATGGTGTAGAACACAAGAAATGGGCTTCACACATTGTACCCATTTCGGGAATCGAACCGGGGTCTTTGGCGTGACGCTTTAACCACTAGGCTACCTGACCGCCTTTAACCTCATGATGACAGAGGTTAATACATATAATGTAGGGCTGGGACAGGTAATTCAGGTACTGTTATAGTCACATGATACATATTGTTTAATGACAATAACAATAAAACTCCAAGGTTACACTACAAGATGGTAATGTTCGCATTTCTTTCTGACTTTGCACGCATTCCTTTTATATGTTTCAATAAAGATAAAGCTTCAGTCATCTTCAGTGTATGCATGACCAGATTGTTTTATACGCATACCTAAATTGTTTTTGCCAGGGCTCCGGTAAAACAATTCCCAATTGGACATTTTGAGTCCAACTCTTGAGACCTACAGTGGGTACTCGGGTAGGGTAGGGTAGGGTAGGGTAGGGTAGGGTAGGGTAGGGTAGGGTAGGGTAGGGTAGGGTAAGAGGGGGTCGGGTCCCTGGGTAGTAAATTTGGACTTGCCTCAGCCCTAATATATAAGACTTAGCCCTAATATATATAAGAAATATCATTACTTGTTATTAATGAACATAAGAAACAGTAACCATGTTGAACACTGCATCATGGGTAGAAACACTGTCTTCAAGGACCCCTTAATATGAAACTGGAAGCTGACAATTTCCATCTTCACAAATAATAACACAACCATTAAAAGATAACTGCAGCTCTATTGATTGACCAGGTCTGTTGTGAAGCACTTGTGTAGACCTGCACTAATATATCACACATACAACGAAGAGGGCTGTGTCAACTTGTATGGACCTGCACTAATATATCACACATACAACGAAGAGGGCTGTGTCAACTTGTATGGACCTGCACTAATATATACAGAGAACGTGTCGTATAAACAAGTGATAGATTGCACAGAGGACGAATAAATAAGTAAAAGCAGAAACAAGTCAAAACATACAAATTAAAAAATCAGATCATTAAAAATCTCAAATGCATATGTTACACATCGAGCCTGTCCAAAATATACATTACTTACTGTATAAAGGTATACTTAACACTGGTTCTTAATGAAAAAGGATCATGGAATTTTCTCCAGCAAATATCTGTATATTATGCGTAGGTACCTCCATACGTATTGCTATAAATAGGACTAGCTTATCTCATACATTGGGATTAAGAACAGGAGCTTTTGAATACCAGTACGTAATAAGTGACTATTCCTTTACAATTGTAGAGAGTATGGACTACGAAATAAAGAACAAATTATCAAAACCGGTGTTCTATCTAAACATCTATATGGCACTCATTATGATGTTGTGAGATCAGATATTCCTTGTCTATCAAACTTATAAACATGGCAAGACTAATACACAGATATCAGTTGCTGTATCAACCTCACAGGAAATCACATTGTTTCACTCAAAAAATATCTATTCACATTGGACACCATGAATGAAAGAAAATCACACAGTTTTCACAAATGGGGTGATTTGAAACTGATGACTATTTACAACCAGTAAATGAAAAGGTAGTCTTGAGTATTTTCTATCTATATGGGTCAATAGTCCATGACCTTGACCTTGACCTTGACATTACAGCAACACAATACACAGACATTCAAATAGCTCACAGAAATATCTGACTTTGGTTTGTATGATGTTACTGGCTCTTGCCGAATGACCACAAAATATAAATCAAAAATAATATCTGTACATAAATCCACACAAAAAATGACAATTTGCAAAATAAATGTTCACGGAAGGCACACTTACATGTGGAATGTCAAAGTCCTGATTATGCATCATGATTGTTTACCAGATAAAAAAACATCTGTTGTTTTGGAAGGCACATTTTAGGTACTTCAACATATTCAGGAATACATACTCCAACTCTGGGTTATATCGTGGTGTGTCAACAAAGTTTGAGCGTAAACCTCAAACAGATGGTCTTGGCCATTTACAGCATTGGTGCAAGTGAGTATGGTTTTACGCCGCTTTTAACAATATTCCAGCAATATCACAGCCGGGGACACCAGAAATGAGCTTCATACATTGTACCCATGTCGGGAATCGAACCCGGGTCTTCGGCGTGATGAGTGAACGCTTTAACTAACAGGCTACCCGACCGTGTTAAGAAGCCAATAATCATAAACGAGGTGAATATAGGTCTGAAACCCCTGATCACAGGATTCTTGCACACCAAAGGGACATAACTCTGCACAGCAAATTGTAGGCCTTAAGATAGCTAGCCCTACCTGTGCCCCCTTCATCTGTAGAAGCTTCTAAACTATCTATGAATCAATCTCAGGGAGAATGTGAAATTATTACCCCAACAAACTACATCTTGGTAAAAAAATAAAAAAGACTTGCTTCACTCTTCCATAAAACCAAAACATGGCCTAATTTAGTCTATTTGACGTCAACATATATTGTTACCCTGGTCGTAATAAAACTACATGTCACAAAATATTTTTCTGTCTTGGCCAAAACATATAAAGCTCAGGCCGCTATGACAGAGCATCCCACCTCCAGCCATTACATCAGTCAATCCATACATTTAGCAACCACACCACAGTCCTATGGCAAAATGTGATTAGTTCTAGTGGCAGGTGTGAGGCTGCAACACTGTCTCTGTGGGGGTTCATCAGTAACTGTCAGATTACTTGTAGGCCTGTAAGTTGGACTATAACCCCTCTTTAATTCCATTGCCCTTTCAGCTAGGTTTCTAAGTTTCGACATACTGTGCACCACAGGTGTATTATTTGGTATGTGTTTTTCCCTTCCCTGATGTACAGACAACACACCCACATAACCAAGCTTTACTGTAGTTTTCCATCACCCGACATGCAGCAAGCTCCTGTGCTTTTCTCACCATCACCATTTGCCATGGAGTGTGGATATTCCTTACGAACAGTGAACAATTATCCAAAAGTTCATTTCATAACTGAGGCCTTCTTTTGCAGTTACTTGTTTTTCAGATTTGTTTCTTTCCAAAACCAATTTAATAATAATAAAATAAATAAATTTTGACCACAGGATCTGGCTTGTTTTCAATATGTAACTCTAATGTGCCAACCCCAGGTGCAATAGTAATATAAAGCTATTATGCTATCTTGCCACCCCCTTCCCCTAAAACACATACACACACAAAGAAAAAAGAATAAAAATGTAATCACACTACATTGCAGTGCCATAGCCAGCCTGGGGGGGGGGGGGGGGGGGGGGGGGCAGTTGCCCCCCTAGATTTTTTATAGAAAACAGTTTATTTGAATCAAGTTGGGGTAAAAAAAAGTTAACTACGGCCTTAGATTGTGCTTTTGGCCAAACAAAACAAACAGAATCATAAGACTTTGTATCGACCTAATTAAAAAAAAGTAATTAAAAAATGCAATTAAAAAGAAAGTGCTTGATGAATAAAATTCAATTCATATCCACATGTAATGTAAAATGCTGAATCATGAGTCTGAGGGTGAGACTGTAACACACTAGTTAGCACTGACCAACACACGACACTCAGGGCTGTAGAGGTCACAATGACCTCGGTCTTGTTGACAACACAAGACACTCAGGGCTGTAGAGGTCACAATGACCTCGGTCTTGTTGACAACACAGGACACTCAGGGCTGTAGAGGCCAAAATGACCTCAGTCTTGTTGACAACACAGGACACTCAGGGCTGTAGAGGCCACAATGACCTCGGTCTTGTTGACAACACACGACACTCAGGGCTGTAGAGGCCACAATGACCTCGGTCTTGTTGACAACACACGACACTCAGGGCTGTAGAGGCCACAATGACCTCGGTCTTGTTGACAACACACGACACTCAGGGCTGTAGAGGCCACAATGACCTAGGTCTTGTGGACAACACAGGACACCGTAAACATATACAAAAATATGTATCATGCATGATATATATAATGTCTGACTTAATGTGAGCATTGGCCTTCCTTCCTTACTGGGATGTGGTCGTTGAGAAAAAACACATAAAAACATAAAAAGTGATATTTGTTCTCTTGGAATGTTTATGAAAGTAAATCCCGAGATTGGGTTCACTTGTTCAGCACTGGTTTACAGCAGGTTACAGGATGTTCCCTGTACACGTACTTCGAAATAACGGGTCCTGACTGACTCATCCACTTGTCCCTTGGTTCATGGCTAGCTGATGAGCCAGTCGATATTCTTATTTGGTATTCAACAGATTAACTTAATTTTCCATCTATTTCTCTGGACACAGACAAACCAAAGATTGATATTAAAACAGAGGTCCTGATGTCAATCACCAGCAAATGTTTCTAGGGACAAATTTTTATCTGGAATCCACATAGGGTTCATTCGCAACACAAATGCGCCAGGACAAAATTGAGGGACACTTGTCATCACCCTAGTAGTAAACGTTAAAACATAGGGTCTCTTGGTTAAAACACCAGAGCAGCAAAGGATCTCAGGACACCCAACTTTTAAACAATCCTATCCTCATGTGGATGTGAGGGAGACTTCTAATGGAGCACTAACACATTGGTCATTATTATGACACCTTCTTTCTTTTTTTCAGGTAATGTGAATTTTTTTCTTGTAACGGAATGACTAATGACACATGAGCATCACTGACACAAAATACAGTTGGAGGTTAGTTTTCATGCCCTCTGTGTACATATGTTCTGAATAGTCAGTGATGAGACATCTTCCTGAAGCAAGGGCATTAACTGACTGTAATAGTCCAGTTTCCACCCTTGCTGAACTAGGCTGGAATTCTGGAGTTACAGTTTGGTTGGACTAACGGGTCAATGCATAGACCAATCAAAATTTCGAAATTAACTAGACATCCGGTTCGTGAACAACATGGATTTCAACATGCAGATTTTGGTCGACTGCAGGATTTGCAAAGCATGTTTACTGAGTGCTGGGAGATGACAGATATTTTGCAAATCAATTCATGTTTTTAATCTTAAACTTCGTACGGTAAGCCTCTTTTTTTCACAATATAGACCTTGATTATCCAACAGATTGCCTGGACAGGGTGCCACCATTTTGTTTGATACAATGCAAGTGATGGAATCTGATTGGTCAATAGGAGGGACACAGAAGTGACAAAACTTGTAATAGCCACTGGTGGCACTATGATTGAGCCTGGAATTTCCAGCCAAGTTCGGCAAGGGTGGAAACTGGACTTTTATAGTCAGTTAAGGCACTAGTCTCGGGAAGATGGTGATGAAAATACATACACCCAAACAGGGTAGATGAATTGCAATACATTTTTCACGACACTATATGTGTTACAATGCACCATTTAGGAGTACCCATGACAATAACATTCTTATTTTGACGTAACAGAATAAAGGTAACCTGGCAACGTTTTACAGGTAACTGGAACAATTTATGAAATTGTTTGCACCAATACAGAGTTAAGCAAATTGTGTATCATATAGTAGACATTAATATCGCAGAGCACCGGTTCATCATGGAACTGTTTTCACCTTGGTGTTCCACATCTCAGATTATACCATAACTCATTGGCTGATGCATCAATCCTTTTTGATATTTTAAAAAAGTCTTACATAAAATTTATATCCCGTAAACTGTATTAGTGTCTTCACATTCACAACAAACTCTGTGTCAAAACACAGATATTCTTCTTCCCATATTACTATGTTCATGATATCGTATGGTAGAGCAGTGTTAGTTTGATATGGCAGTTAGCATGGCAGTTAACGTCGGGGTGGGCGTGCTCGGTGTAACAGTCGTGGCTGGGTCTCCATCACACGGACAAGAAGGTCATCGATGTAGTTCTCAAGGTCACCGATGTAGCGATCTTTACGAATCATCTGTGCTTTGTTCTGGATGACTATATGGACAAGTTCCTGAAACAAGGGAGACAATGCACAAGGGAGGTTATTCAGTTTGCTTGAACATAGTCAGTTCTAGTCTATGGCAGTCTAACATCAGCACCAATTACCACATGGTTGTTTATTTGTGTGTTTGTTTGTTGTTTAATGATGCACTCAAGTTATATTCCTGCTATATATCGGTGGTCTGTAAATAATTAAATAATAATCCTGAGACCTGACAAACCAGTGATTGATATTGTGAACAACGATCCACGCTGTTGGGGTACAAGGCGAACTTTGAACCAAGCCACCTAGTCTGACAACCCGATCCATTTGGTCGCCTCTTAGGACCAACAACTACATGTCATATATGACAAACAAACAAGTGACAAAAGAGATACATGTCAACCTTGTATGAACGACAAATGAGCCGACTTAAAAAAATGAGTGCGAGGGTGAATTTGGGTTTCAAGTGCAGGGGACGTGGGATTTTTGTCAAGAGAATATCTTTTTGTTAACTACAAAATCTAGCATCTTGTTTGTGAGAACATTTAAGAAAATGGCCAGCTTACGTCTTTGGTGAGGTTTCTGTACATGGCCATGAGGTCCTCGTGGGCGATGTTGGGGGTGTTGTGTTTGGTGGAGTCGCTCATGTCGGAGAAGCTGTCATCATACAGCCCCGGGGGCCGGAAGTCCAGGCCTTGCACTGTGTACCGCCGGCCTGCAGGACAGATACACAAACTTCACATGGGGACCAAGGTGATCTCACAGTGACAACAAACTCCATAAGCTTCATTATGTATGTTGGTTACTCGTAAGCAAAACTGTTGCTTGTTTGTTTTTCAACACCACACTCATCAATATTCTAGTTATACGACGACGGCAGACTGTAAATAATCACGTCTGGACCAGACAATCTACAGTGATCTACGCAACAGGGATACAATGACATGCATCAACCAAGTCACTGAGCCTGACCACCCGATGCCGTTAATCGCCTCTTATGACAAGCAGGGGTTGCTGAAGATCAATTCTAAATCCGGCTATTCACAGGGGACAAGCATGGGTTGCTGAAGACTGGATCCTGTAAGCAGTACACACTAACAAACTAACTGATGAAACCATGGTGGTCACATGAGTTGTCTGATCTTGAAAAGTACTTAGGATGAGGTGAACACGAACACACATGTGATTGATTGATTAGACTATTGTCTTTGTAACTACCAAAGATAGAGTTCAATCCTGGGTGTAAAACATTTGTTCTTCTCAGGCTATGACAAACATAAAAAGAATACCTATGACCAAAATCCTATTTCAAATTGACAAGATCACCAGGCTTTCAGGTTTTCACTTTTTTGTTATCAGTAGAAAATTATTCTAATAAACTCCTTAATAACCATGGCAATATAGCTATGGAAGTCAAGTTATTGAACGAAAGAAATGTTCAATGGCTTCTTAAAGGGCCTACATGTTGAGAATGCTTTCACAACCTTGATAACAATTAAATAACAACAACAACAACAACAACAACAACAGTAATAATAAAACAACAACACAGTTTGTGCTAATTTTATCCTTATTGAGTGAGTAATGTGTTTATTCCTTTCAGAAATATTTCTGCAAGTTTACCACTTTTCTGAAAACCCATGAGGGTTTGGTGAGAACAAACTTAGGAACAAAATCTGGGCAAACGTGGGATTCAAATGATCACAGGGTCCTAATGCATGGCCTTAGATGGCTGAGCCACTAACACCTCAATCTTGTCAATAATGTTTCCTCACCTTGTTTATTGAGTTTCCTGATCCTGTCTTTCTTGGACTTCTTTCTGAGGGCAACCTCCCCCTGACTATTCTCCCTCCTCAGAGACTGCACGGTTTTGGACAGGTCATCTCTGACCGACACAACTTTCCTGCTATTAGAGGGATGGTGCTGATCGTATTCCTGCCGTGTATGCCCATTAGGCATCCCTTCCGGGCGTGAATCTCTGTGACCATTTTCAGCAACCGAATCTCCAGTATTCCCTACACTAGGGCCCGAAGTTGTCTCCCCTGATTCCCCAGTCCCGTTCTGCATCACCCCCTGTTTCACTGGCACTTCACTCATACTCTCCACATCCGCATCGTTTTCCCGATTAAGGTCCCGGAGAAAAAGTCGCCGTGGTCTGGCTCGGGCCAAACCAGCATCGACCTCATCTGACGAGGACGACTCCTCAGGTTCAGTTCGTTCCTTAATACTCTCGTACAACGATCGTTCGCGTTTCTTGATGGCTTCCACGTACGAGGAGGTAGAACCCAGCTGTGTTCGAGGGGCAAGGGTACGCATGGGGCCATGCATTATTATGGCTGTATCGTCCTGGGACACTTGCTGTGGGTTGTACGGAGGTGGTGGGAGAGTGTAGTGGGAGAACTCCACACAGCTTCTTCTGTTTCCCGGCAAGTACAGAGCTGCCGGTGGGGTGTCTGTGGCTACAACAGTGTGAGTGAGTGAGTTTGGTTTGCTTTGAACAGTTAAAATAATTATATCACATGTCAGATCGATGTTGCTAGTTAGACCTTTACCTCTTTGGTGGAACTCACAAGCACAGGTAAGCTGACACACAAGAACCATAGTTTGGATGAATAATGGATTCGAACCCACAGCCACAGTCTGGCACACATAACCTGTCTAAGGGATGCAACTCTACACAGTCAACTACATCATGACTTGACTATTCATGCCTGCTGGATACAAACCGTTTTGTATTATTAATGATGTATGCTTTGTTTTCTTTGTTTGTTGTCTAACGCCACACTCAGCAATATTCCAGCTATATGACCGCAGTCTGTAAATAATCAAGTCTGGACCAGACAATCCAGTGATTGACATCATGAGCATCTATCTACACAATTGGGATACGATGATATTCTAGTCATATGACGGCGATCTCTAATTAAGTCTGGACCAGACAATCCAGTGATTTACATAATTGGGATCACTGACATGCATCAACCAAGTCAGCGAGCCTGACCACCTGATCCCGTTTGTTGCCTCTTATGACAAGCATAGTCGCTTTTTATGACAAGTATGGTTTGCTGAAGACCTGTTCTACCCTGGAATCTTCACGGGAAGATGTATGTACACATGCATTTTATATATATGGTATACGCATGTTATACAGTATATGCATATTTGGAAAATGTATATGGGTTTTACACAGCATATGATATACATTACATTTCATCTGTATGATGTACCGGTATGCATAATGAAGGGTATATGCCTTGTATATGCAATACATATGCAGTTCAAAACAACCTAAGCATCATATATGCTATACATGTACATACATGACTAACACATGACATGATAATTGCCTCACCCTGTACAAAATCCTGGGAGTGGGTGTGGTTGTTGTTGATGTTGCGGCTGCCACGGTCCAAGGACATGGATTTGATGTAGGCTGCCGACATGCTGTAGCTCCGAGACAGCGACTCCTGTACACAGATATCATCATCATCATCATCATCATCATCAACGTATACATATATAATTGCAACATTTACATGACCCTTGCTTCAAGGCAGCAAATATTTTGTAGACTACATAAATAAATGCATGTGAATTATTGTTGTTTTACGCTGTGGTCAACAATATTCCAGTTATATCACAACATCCTGTAAATTATCTGTGAATGATCCAGTAATGAGCAAAAACGGACATCATCAGGGAATTGAGGACATACAACCATCCTGGTTTGTTTGTTTGTTTGTTTAACGCCACTCAGCAACATTACAGTTAATATGATGGCAGCCTGTAAATAATCGAGCCCGGACCAGACAATCCAGTGATGGATATTGTGAACAACAATCCGCACGGTCGGGTACGAAGACAAACTATCAACCAAGTCACCGAGTCTGGCCACCCAATCAATTTAGTCACCTCTTCGACCAGCACAGGTTTCAGGGGACTTATTCTAATAAGGAATCCCCACAGGGTCAACCAGCCTTGTAACACACGGCGACCAGCTGACCCCCACTGACCAGCTCATGACAATATGGAGTGCTAGGGAGTACACACAAGATCTGGAATACTACAACATAACCACCACAGAGATGACAACATTCAAAATGGCCGTGCACAGAGAGAGAGAGTGAAGCACACATAAAATCTTCTCTATAAACTAACATCCACACAATAAATCTGATATCTAGAGAGGATCATGCCTTCAAAAACTGCAAAATAAATCATGAAAAAAATGTTATTACCAATCACCAACAAATACATTCATAATTGTTTTCCCCGTTTCATGCTATTAGTGTCCCCATCCATATTGGTTAGGATAGGATAACAACTGCACATGAAAACATAAGGCTAAATACATAGGTGAGATATACAATACATGCACATGTTACTCATGCAGAATATAGAGAGAAGAGAGTTTAGACCTGCATGAAATCATACACACAATGCTGAAGTGAATGGTTGTAGAAACACAGAACAATTTTCAGACTCTTATCATTGTCTCCTAATTCTATAAAGCAAGTGAATGTTGACTTACCCTGCAGTCAGTGGCAAGGAAATCATTGAGCCTGGACCAGGCAAACCAGTGGTTGATAGCATGAGCATGTGTTCAGATTGCTGTGCTAGCATGACATACAATCTGCCAAGCCACATACTGTAACCAGCTGATCTTTACTGATCAGCACCACAACAAGCATGGCGCAACAAAGGATTGATTTACTTCAGTGATTTTCCAAAAATGTCCTGACCAAAAGAGTTGGCCAAATTAAATTTCCAAGTTTTCAAATCCAAATCAGAACTATGAAGTAATAATATCATATATCTTCCAAAAAGACAATATATGGTCTACCTTTAATATATCACTATATTATTTTGGGTCAGCCTTCCACTTATGAAGTGGGACATGGGTGGCCCAATTGGCGCCGCAATTCACTATGCGGAGTTATTTCCCTTGTGCACAACAGAACGCTATGACCATGGGTACGAATCCGGGTTCTCCCTGATTATGTTTCTAGGTTTGTTAGCACCATACCCGTGCTTGTGGGTTTCACCGAAGTGGTTATAGTGTCTGAGACCTGCATCATTTTGGGCTTTCCTCCCACATTAAGCTGACACGCCATGATATAACTTGAACACAAATCACTCACTTATAGAAGTACAACACTGATAATGACATCAAAAAACAGAAAACCCTGAACACATGCCACCCGCCACCACATTAAACCAAGTACTGCAAGGGCTGAAACAGCATCCAAGAATGTTAATTATGCATATACCAACCCCGGACTGATCGTTAGGTGTCCAGCTAGATCGCTCGACATCGAGCGCTGGGAAATTATTGCTGGGTGATTGTCCGACATGGCGAAGGTTAGGGTGCGAGCTAGACGTCCGACGCAGGTACGCAGAGTTGGCCTAGACAGTGGTCACATGTATAGAGTGAGTGAGGGATACCTAGAGCATGATGGTGGTTATCATGGTAACATACACATGTCCAGAAAATAACAGGATGTTAACAGATGTATACTAAATAGTTTTTTAATTGTAAGGAGTAAATGTTTTGTTGTTGTTCCTATAAGATAATTGATCCATTTTTACATTTTTTATTTTATCCTTTATCATTTATCAGCAACTAAATCAAAACATACTATTCGTATGTAACAAATGTTATATTTGGTATAACACTTACAGATTCTCATACATTTTTTTGGGTTGAGTCAGAGTGAGGCATTGTGTATTCATAATATTCAGAGGTACTATTATCAAAATTGTCATTGGCAGCCATAATTGGTTGATTATATATAATAGTCTGTTTAAAATTTCTAATTCTGTCTCAAATCATCAGTGTTATTTTCTGGACCATATCTCACATTTACATGCCATACTGATATCACCATCACAAAGACGCAGATAGACATTTATGATGAAGGGGAGGTAATTATGAATTTTCTGCCCTTTGTCATAGCTATTGTCAGTCCAAATACTTCTCACAGTTACTGTACACACAGGAAAAGATCTTTCCTTAACTGAATTTAAACATCTGGTATAGTGTATGGCTGTGCAAAAGTGAGAATGTAAACATATTAGTACATTTTAAAGGATGATATAATGTTGTAAATATACAATTACTACACTATGTGCCACAAAGTCAACAAGCCATGAAATCCACAGTTTTCTGTTATTTCAGTGTAGCATCATCTTCCTGAGGCAAGGGAGTTAACTGACTGTAAAAGTACAGTTTCCACCCTTGCCGAATTAGGATGGAATTCTGGAGTTACATTTTGGCTGGACTAACGAGTCTATGTATAATCCAATCAAAATCAAGTAACGAACTAGACAACTTTGGGAAGATGGTGTAGCATCAGCAGCGCTCACATCTCTAGCTGACACTAGAACCATGGTAACATTGGGTAATAAATTAGTTGGCAACACATAATGTTGATTATCACATATTCCTTCTAAAGATGTAGTTGTTTTTGAGAGGTAGATTCATGAATGCACAGTCACAAATAAGATAAAGCCATCATGATAGCTGGAATATTGCTTATGAGGCAATAAACAAGAAACAAATAAATAGAAGATAAAAAAGGAAACGTTTTAGTGTTTGTTGACTTGTTTCTCACCGCTGTCAGCAATATTCCAGCTACATTCACGCTGTCACCGAGTTTCACCCGTCCATTAGGTCACCTCTTGTGACTAACATACATTACTAGGGACTAACCCAGAATCCCCACAGATTAAGAAGGGAATGGTTCTTGCTATAAATGTGGCTTTATGTATTTCTATACTATTTCCATCAAGGAATGATACACATTTCCAAAAGTGTTAAAATGATCTTCATGATAACTTTAGTACAAGAATAAAATCATGAGATTTCGCCATGTATCACGGAACACAGAGAGTTGTGGGCTTTCATGGCCAGTTGGTAATATTTGGCAGACAACTGTTCATGTCACTTGTTAACTGATCATAATCATAACAGATTTAATGTACATTAAACTATTTGTGGTCAATTAATCATTCATAAATAGAATCAAGCATTCTTTAAATTAATTAAAACATGACAATTACATTATGATTTACTGAATTAAAATGACAAAATATATTTATTATGACATACATTTATGAAAGTAGTCATGAAGGTATTGCAACATTAGATATAGGTCAAAAGTACATGAATATGACAGAGAAAGACAGGTACTGTAGACAGCCACCATGTGTGTAGACTACTTATGATATACGGTATGCACAGAAACAATTGAACATGAAGCATTGCTCAGTATATTGTTTGTAATACTTTCACGTTTCCAATAACAAATTGTTTTCTTCCATCATGTCATACTGCCAAAAGGCAGTTATTAAGAAATGTAATTACTGTAACCACTGCTTAAAGAAATGACCTTGATTTGGTCAACAAAAATTCCAAAACTACAAAATTCCAAAATGTTTGAGACACCGGTTTTCTGTTGAAAGAAAACAAACATTCCCAATATTAATTTCCCATCCATATACTGCAGTAATGCCATGAGACAAGCATTTCTGTGCATATGTAGAGCATACCTGTTTGTACAAAATGCATCAAGGAAATAACAAATGCAACATTTTCTGCAACAAATGTTACGGAATACAGCAGTCTTAATTGTTGCATGCAGATTATTATTTTAGTCAACTGACACTATATTGTTATTAGTTTAGTCAAGTGTCAATTGATTAAGTCGTTGTGATGCAATAATTGCTAAGTAAGACCTTTCACCTCCTTATTTTCCTCAAAAAGGGGATCGGTTCCTGGTCGCCATTGACGACGATCAGATTTGCTTCCTTCTGGGTCTTTTCTGTTTTCTCGAAAAGATCTGCTTCTTGACAGACCTAACTTGTCACCTGAAATATCATCATCATCATCATCATCATTTCAATCATCATCATCAGTGTTTGAAGCATCATTAACCGTAATATTGTTCTTAAAAGAGCCAATTCCAATCTCAGTGAAAAATGTCATTTAAATGCTAATGAGAATAAATGTTTTGGGTCTAGAATTGGGTCATTTTTAGGTTCCTGAGACGTCACAGTATTAAGAATGATTGTATTCCATGCAAGAGGTCGTCATATAGTGTCAAATGTTCAGGCATGTGTAGGTGAAGTTTTATCAAAGTATGTACACTTTCTTTCATCGAAAGAGATCGAAACGAAAACCTGAAGCTGTTTCATGGAGGCCACCATCTTGGTTTAAGTGGATTTTTGGATTTGCAATTGAATCCTTATTAAAAAAATCACGTTCAATGAAACGATGTACACTTACCTAGGGTATGTGATTAAGAAAGATATTGGTATATATGTTTTAAAAATCTCTTATGATTTGTAACCAAATGGACTTTTCTGTGCCCCTTGACTTTAGACTTAAGAGACATTGTGAGAACAACTAATTATAAACTATGAACAAATGAGGAGTCACAGTGTCTCCAGCTGTCTGTGGTTGTCTGATGTTTCATCTCGTATTGGAGGATGACTGCATGCAAAGAGTAATTTCAAAAACTGAAAAGCTGGAAATGCATCTTCCTCAAAACATGTGTTATAGGGCTGGGGCGAGTCCGAACTTACTACCCGGGTACCCAGCCCCCTAATACCCGACCCTACCCAGGTACCTGCTGTAGGTCTCAAGAGATAGGTACAAATGTCCGATTAGGATTTTTTTTACCATAGCACTGGCAAAACGTATCTAGATACATGTATTAAACAATCTGGTCATGCATACACTAAAGCTGACTCAAGTTATGTATTTATTCAAAGATATGAAAAGTCAGAAGGAATGCGAACATTTGTGACTTGTAGTGTAACCATAGAGTTCTAGATGCTTTTTGTCATTAAACAATATATCACATGACAAACCACGGGTCTGGGTAGTCCTGTGGGTACCCGGGTCCTACTCAGTACCCACCCGACCCGAGTACCCGAGATACCCGTCCCAGCCCTATTGTGTAAGCACTATCCAGGGGTCCGTATTAACCACAAAGTCTCTCACCCACGGCATTGGCCAGGTTCCGTATTGAAGACGACCGTTTCTTAAGTCCTGGTCCCGTGGTCGTCCGACTCTCCACGTGAAAGGTCAGCTTGACCTCTAGTTCCCCTCGCAACTTGTTGTCCTGACCCTTAGATGGCTTGTTCTTCAACGTCACCCATCTGCAGGACACAATAAACATTGGTTCAGTATTTAATCAAAACATAACATTCATTTACTAAAGACTATGCACATAAACCAGTCATCACACAAAAGGGCATTTCCAACACAGGTATCAGCTAAATATAGAGTCATCACAAAAGCCTGTCACAATGATCAGAGAGCCAGGAGAAAGGACTGTGTTGCTGAACATTATATATACTACTCAACTGTGGATGGGGATGAATAGATATGTCATTCTATTTATATATACCGATGACATATGACAAACAGTTTTGTGTATTATGGAAAGATAAAAATGTCTTTATCAAAAGTGGACATAGACAAATCCGAAATTTGAAAAGGAGGGGGTGCACTTAGCCTGGTAATACCCGAGTCACAGAGTGAGGTGAGGTGAAATGGGGTTTAACGTCACGTCCAAGATTATTTCACTTTTGTAGCGACGTGCATGTACGTGTGTGTGTGGCTGCTTGTACTAGACGGGACTGATGCCGATTCATAGTGCTAGCCCACTGAGATACCATGCAGCAGTTTAACAAGAATACCACACTCAGACACAGTATACTGACTCCGAGCTGACCAGTCCTTGTTTAAGTCCCTTAAAGCCGAGCGCCAGACAGAAGTGACTTGTCCAGGGCGCAGTTCACATGTGACTTGTCACCACCACATCAATATGGCTGCAGTAGTAGATTCGGTCATATTTCTGTGAGTAATTTCTCGGATCATTCATGCAAAGTGTCCTTTTCCTAGGCCTGAGTGAGTGAGTGAGTGAGTGAGTGAGTGAGTGAGTGAGTGAGTGAGTGAGTGAGTGTGAGTGAGTGAGTGAGTGAGTGAGTGAGTGAGTGAGTGAGTGAGTGAGTGAGTGAGCGAGCGAGCTGGATTTAATACTACTTTTAACAGTATTGCAGTTATATCGTGGCGTGTCAGCTTAATGTGGGAGGAAAGCCTGAAGTGATGCAGGTCTCAGACGTTTTCCACTTTGGTGAAAATCATGAGCATGGGCATGGTGCAGACAACCGAGAAACATAACTGGGGTGAACCGGGATTCAAACCAACGATCAAAGGTTTATTGCATGCCCAAGGGACGCAACTCTGCATAGCGAATTGCGGCCCCTCTGACAACTGTGCCCCACCTAACAGATGAACTTACGGAAGACTAGGTATCGTAACAAAGCTCACTACAACTTTAATTCATGTCCGCTTAGAGGACACTTTTCAGTGCAAGTCTGACCTTGAACGTTTCAGATCCCATAAACTGCTTTAAACAACCAGCTCGAAACAAAGGCACGATACAAACCTCATTCAAATTTTAGCATATCAATTATACTCTTTGTTAACAACTTTTAGTTCTGACATATATTTCCCATTAAAACAACACGAGAATGTTGACAAGCACTCCGCATAAAAGCTATCAATTACGCCACTAATTAGGCTATTCTGGTATTGAAGTTCTACAATTACTTCAAAAGACAGAAAAAGTTCTTATCAATAATTCATAGATGGTCTTGTTTTAAGAATCCTATCAGGAAGATTAATCATCCAATTGCCTCCCATTCAAGTCTTTCAGCTGGTGATGAATTAATTATATGTTGTAAAGACAACACTTGTTTTTCAGACCAGATTGGCCGATTTATTATTAAAGTGTTTCTTCTCTCGTTTATTTGTTGTTTAACACATCAACGTCTCAGCAATATTCCAGCTATTTGATGGTCGCTTGTAAATAATCAAGTCTAGACCAGAAAAATCAATGTTAAGTCTTTGAAAGGCATTTAGAAGTGATACACATAAGGAAGAGAATTTATGGAGTCAACTTCTTTATCATGAGGAACACAATGTATCGGAGTATATACTTACTTCTTCATCAGTTTTTAGGGCACCATGACACATATCAACACAGTCACCGAGTCTGACCACACGATCCATTAAGTGACTTCCTACAACCAGCATAGATTGCTCGGGACCAATTCTTATCCAGAATCCCCAAAGGGAGATTATTGAGATAGTGACATTACTTATACAAAGGGTATTGATAACATCAGCACTTTACAGTAATGATACATTTAGACATTCACTTGACAAGTGCTGCATGTACTTAATAGTTAATGTGTGCAACAACTAGTGCTGCCTCTCAGGGGAGATGGGAGACTACAGCCCTTTAGAACACACCTGCACAGAGTTTAGTCACGAACAACTGGTCAAAATAACTTGGGGAGAAATGATTCAACAATAGTTTTGTGACAATGCAATACACGATACATTTTTTCTGTATCGATACAAGATACACTTGCTGAAATAAATTATATACTAACTGTTTGTCAGTCAAATATATATGCCGTAATTAGCATTTCAAGTTTACTGTTAAAAATAGCCCCTACGAACATGTGTCTACAGTTAGCTTTTCCTTTTGAACCTGCTCTGAAATATTTATTCCAGCAATATCATGGCAGCGGACACCAGAAATGGGCTTCACACATTGTACCCATGTTGGTAAACAGACCCGGGTCTTCAGCGTGATAAGCAAATGCTGTAACCACAAGGCTACCCGACCGCCCCTTCGGACAGATTGACATACACCAATCGTAAAGACTATTGCCTTACGGTATCTCCAAGAATAGTAATCATTTGAGTGAAAGTATTAGAAAATAACCTACATGCAATGAAGTAAGACGGATTATCTGTTCAAAGTGAAATGATCATGTAAGTTCCAATCCTTGGACTTTTATTCCATACTTCTGATTTGCAAGTATGTTATTTTTTTATTACCCATAGGGTTAGACATAACCGAGTTCATAAAAATCGAATGTGCACTAGTGCATTAATATCACTTCTTGAGCACCAGGTTAGTTTTCCATCATTCGGACGGCATTGTTGACGACATTTGAATGTTATTGTGGCGTAAGGTCGGAATGACTTCACGCTAGAAACAATGTCATAGCTGATGACTGTGTTTTTCTGGGACAGTGGTGGTTATCAGTGCATCAGAGCTGATGCCTTCATTTCAGACGTCACATAAAATCGTCAGGACATCATGAACAATGGACAATGTCATCTTCAATTATTTGACATCACATTGCTATGTGTCTCTTCACAAACAATAAAAAAATGGACCAGCTGTGACAATGTTCAGTGAGAATTACTGAAAATAATTTCACCATCCGTGCCTCTAGGGGTAATATTCTCTCATATAATATTTGGCAAGGTCTGCGATGTAAGCCACAAATTGGAGGACAAATCTCAGACCTGCAATTTACCCCGGATGACACCAAGACTAATGACATGTAAATGGACTCAATTGGACCTCATTGCCTAAGGTCATTTACAAATCATCACCGTCACTAATTTGTGGAGATGTGGGATAGATATATCTATAGCTAATAGTACCTAGAATCAATAATATGATAGTTCTAATATGAATATCACCAGTGACCCTTTCATTGTCACCCCAGGGCGTTATCTAGGATTCTCTACTAAGTGCCCTAAGCTTGGCAGGCAATTTGGGATTTTTTTTATTTCGTTCAAGATCGGAAAGTTTTTATGTTCTTATTTTCCTATTTTCAGAGGTATCTTAACATTGCATTGTAACATTGCATTCAATACAAGTATGCAAAATGTAGCTTCGTCCTCTATCATGGTCATATATGTGGAATACAAGCCACCTCCACGAAGCCATCACACTAGATCTAACTATGTTATATGACATGAGAAGTTCTTCATTCCCATTTGGGAATTTATTCTGACAATTGGGGCTGAATATCGGTCTCTGAATAATTCTAGATAAATACTTGCCTCCACAAAATATGGAATGTGCCCTCCCTAAAGTGACCCCTACTTACAGACTCTTGGGCCTCTCTCCAACCTTGTGGTCCCACATGGGGATGGAGGCGTATCACAGGAAGTCATCAGACAGAACCCCTCTATCGTATATGCCCTTCCCCCAATAGTGACCCCTACTTACTGACTCTGGGGCCTCTCTCCCACCTTGTGGTCCCACAAAGGGATGGAGGCGTACCCCAGGAAGTCATCAGACAGATCCCCTCTATCGTATATGCCCCTCCCCCAATAGTGGCCCCTATACTTACTGACTCTTGGGCCTCTCTCCGACCTTGTGGTCCCACATGGGGATGGAGGCGTACCCCAGGAAGTCATCAGACGACCCCTCCATCGTATATGCCCCTCCCCCAATAGTGACCCCTACTTACTGACTCTTGGGCCTCTCTCCGACCTTGTGGTCCCACATGGGGATGGAGGCGTATCCCAGGAGGTCATCAGACACATCCCCTCCATCGTATATGCCCCTCCCCCAATAGTGACCCCTACTTACTGACTCTTGGGCCTCTCTCCGACCTTGTGGTCCCACATGGGGATGGAGGCGTACCCCAGGAAGTCATCAGACAGATCCCCTCCATCGTATATGCCCCTCCCCCAATAGTGACCCCTACTTACTGACTCTTGGGCCTCTCTCCGACCTTGTGGTCCCACATGGGGATGGAGGCGTACCCCAGGAAGTCATCAGACAGGACCCCTCGGTGGTAGATGTTCACCTCAATCTCAGAGTGCATGTGCGGGATGGGACTGCCAGATGAAAGCAATACATGTACATGTTTACATCCAATACTGGCCTCACCTCCTCCTGCATCGTTAACTGTACAGTCAGTTACAATTTGGATTTGATTCACAGATATTCTGGACCAAACAGACAAGATGCAGGTGGATACAAATCAATTAGCTTAAAAAACATTGATGGAAATTATAAACAATGGAACAATGAATACTTTTTTGAAAATGCCCAATAATTTTTATGGGTTTGTATATTTTCATGAGTGAGTGAGTGAGTATGGTTTTACGCCGCTTTTAGCAATATTCCGCAATATCACGGCAGGGGACACCAGAAATGGGCTTCACACATTGTACCCATGTTGGGAATCGAACCCGGGTCTTCGGCGTGACGAGCGAACGCTTTAACCACTAGGCTACCCGACCGCCCCATATTTTTATGAAATAAGTTCTGGAATTAGAGAGAAGCAAAACGTAACAGTCTGACTTACAGATCACATTCCTCGAACCACTCTGGGTTGTGAGCGTTCTTGATGGTGGATGTCTGATACTTCTCCTTTCCCAGCTGTATGGTGACAAACACATCATTGTTACCTGTAACAAACAAACACATTGTTACCTGTAACTAACACATCATTGTTACCTGTAACTAACAAAACCATTGTCATCTGTAACTAACAAGATTCCATTATCTCTACAGACAACAAGTCAAGGTGACCTGTAACAGACACACACATCGTTACCTTTAACTAATGAACATATGTTGTTATTTGTAACAAACACAATGTTACCTTTAACTAACAAACACATCATTGTTGCCTATAATTAATGAATATATTGAGTCTTGTAACTAACGAACATTTGATTGTTACCTGTAACAAATACACATTGTTACCTGTAACTAACAAACACTTCACTGTTACCCGTAACAGACAACACATCATTGTTACCTATAACAGACAACAACACAACATTGTTACCTGTAACAGACAACACATCATTGTTACATGTAACAGTCAACACAACATTGTTACCTATAACAGACATCATTGTTACCTGTAACAGACAACATTGTTACCTGTAACAGACAACACATCATTGTTACTTGTAACAGACAACACAACATTGTTACCTGTAACAGACAATACATCGTTACCTGTGAAACTCTTCATTTATGTTCACCTTCTGAGGGAGTTCATACAAAAAATCTGTTTATTTTAACTTTATTTGTATTATCTACAAAAGAACACATGTGGCCCAACCCTGTTACTATGGTGACAGTGTCATCTAAAACACTATGTCCTACACTTCACACAGTTATTAAGGTGATAAATCCCAAATCTGGATATTAAGAGTCATCAGGTTGCCTTGGCATTGATCATATCAATATCAACAGTTCTAGATGTTCATATTCAATTGGATTATTACAGATAATGTGAGATTAATCACCAGAGTCAGAAATCGAAAACAGGAAGTTGATATTTCTCCATCTTTACCAACAAGACCGCGAATTTCAATAAGCCACTGTCACATACAAAGAGCCCATCCTACTACTAGGATGTCCCAACATAAGGCCGTATCAAACTTGCTCTGCATGTGGTCGGACAGTCCTTTGTGGTGCCAACTAATTCAGCAGATCATTGTCTGCTGGGAGGGGGAATTCAATCTGACCAGGAACTCTCTCATCTGATGAATACATTTCTCATGGCAACCGATAAACAAGGTTTTGCTTGACTGACTGGGATAAGATTGTGTACAGCCAGCAGTTGCATACATCGCTGACCAGGAAATGGACATTGTAAAACTGACCACCGTAGTCAGTCATGAAAACTGACTATCAGCTATTTGACCTCTAGTGTCTCTCCAGATTTTCTTTACCGATTCCAGGGAATCACACAGAGAAATAATCAATTACTGAAGCCTAAGTAACATCATACTCTAAACTGGGACATCCGAAGACATGTTACCTAGCTGTGAAAGAGGGAGTGAATTGGGAATAATGCCACCTTGAACTGTATTTCAGTTACATCACAGCTTATCACATAATGTTGCCAGGTTTAATCTCTTTAAGCATTACCTCTTTCCATACATGGGTGGGGATCAAACCCAAAGTCTTTGCTATGGGTGAGTGAGTGAGTATGGTTTAAAACCGTTTTTAGCAATATTCCACCAATATCACGCGGGGGACACCAGAAATGGGCTTCACACATTGTACCCAAGTCGGGAATCGAACCCTGGGTTTTCGGCGTGACGAGTGAACGCTTTAACCACTAGGGTACCCGACCGCCCCTCTTTGCTATGGTCTTTGGCAAAGCTCTCAATGCAACAGGCGAACTTCGACAGGCGCATAGTCAAAGGTCACCCCCAAATGAAACTTGCAATAACTGTTTAATGAGAAGGCTTTGCGTATCATTTAAGTCACGTGTGATATGCATAAATGCTCAGCTTGCAAAATATCAAAACCTTCAGTAGTTTATTTACCCGAAAAAGAAAACACCGCAAGTTAAGAAAGTATCAGCCAAATTTCTCAGCACATGACTACCAGAAACAGCCATTGTTGACTGTTGGCACTTCACATTGAGTGGCATGCAGTCCAATATTGTCTTTATAATTTTGTCATTTACAAATTTTATGTTCACTTTGGTCTTAAGCTTGGTATGATTGAAAATATCAGGATATTTCTAAATAGTAATGTGTAGCTTTCTATCAGGAATAAATGTGCAAAATATTTGTTCAACTATCCCTTGTTTAATGAAGCAGCGACTGTTTGAAATCGTCAACCCTCTTTACAGTGCCTTATGCTAAAACAATTCAGTAGGCGAAAGGTTAAGGGACTAACCATTTTATTTTCAAGGGGGACTGGGACGTTGTTTGGAGACTAGATATTTTCTCAGCTTTCTGTAAAGCCAGATATATTTCTGTCCCTGCTGTCTCCAAATCCTTCAAAGTGAATAGCATCTCGACATTACACCTTTGGTGCAGCCCACGCTACAGGTTTGGTCCAGACCACAACCAAGATGAATCTTGGATTCAAACTCAAATTACTCGCATGTCTAAGGGCTGTAAATTCAGATATCAAGCTACACCTAAGATGACCAAGAGCCCCTTTCCCTATAGGCGAGGTGAAATAGGGTTTACCGTCACATTCAAGATTATTGTACCTATATGGCGATGTGTGTGCATGTGTCTGCTTGTACTAGTCTGGACTAACATTGGTTTTTGAGTGCTAGCCCATTGAGAAACCATGCTGCAAGATATTCTAACATAGATACCTCACTAAGATACATCATACAGACTCCAAGCCAACCTGTCGTTTTGGGGGTAATCTTTTGGGTGCCCCACCCTGAAGTTACAAATGGCCCAATACCAACAGGAATCCTCATCGAGGACATATATATCGACCTAGCTGGTAAAAATATAACCTAAGCCTGAGGTTTTACGGTATGCAGTGGGATGCTGAAAAAGCTACACACCAAGGACTATTTTGATCCTGTTTCAATGGGTCTGTGGCCAGCTTTGATGTCGGTAGATCAATACTTTTACAACTGTCTCAACTACCCCATCACATCAACCTTCTCGCTGCATGTGTGGATTTCTACATTTCATGTTACCACTACAACCACAGTCATAACAATTAAACGCAAATCGTACTGCAAGCGGAAATTGAGTTATGTCCACTCCATTATTGTGAGGGTACCAATCATGGGTTTTCTGATAACACAATTATCTGATGAACTGAAGACTCTGTCAACATGTCTGTGTGATAGACAACTATTTTTTTTCTATTCAGACCTAACTAGCTCATGTACAGAGCTTAAGAACCTTTTTTCATCATTCTGTCTGAATACAAAGAACTGATGGTTACATGTTTGTGAAACGTCTTATCTTTCCTTGCATTGTAGCCAGCTAAAGGTCAAAGAGCAATTAACATTGAATTTGTCAAACCGGCCTCTGACTTAATAAATCCGAATCTCTTGTCAATACCATGAACCAGTACTGAATTTACTACTTGGATTAAGCATTACACTGGATGCTAGGGATATATTTAGGATTTCAAACTCAGCTCCCTTCGCAGGCAAATTGGTAAGATATTATGATCTTGTTCAAAATTTGATATTATAATGCTCCAATTTTTGAAAATTCTGAGGAATTGGGGAGTTTTCAACTCAAATTGGGAATTTTGACAGACATTTGCTGGAGTGATCGAGTGATCTTGGATCGAGTGAGTGAGTGAGTGAGTGAGTGAGTGAGTATGGTTTTAAACCGCTTTTAGCAATATCCAGCGGGAGACACCAGAAATGGGCTTCACACAATGTACCTAAGTCGGAAATCGAACAAGTGTCTTCAGCGTGACGAGTGAACTCTTTAACCACTAGGCTACCCGACCGCCCCAACATTTGCTGGAGACTCAGAGCCGAATATCTGCCTCTGAGAAAGTCTAGCTAAATGCCGGGATGCAAACCTGACACATTTACTAACTGCATCATGATATTGTACAAGAACATCCCCTAAATTCTACAATCCCTTGGAGCAGCTTTTAACATTTGACTAACTTGGGCTACTGAGCTAAGTGCCAGTTGCATCACTGTTGAAATTGAATAATTAAAATCTGACTATTTCAGGTGGAATATGTATCTACATGTATATGTATGATATCTAATCAACGATTATCTTTATTCTGATGAATACAACAAATGTTCAGTGCTCTTATCTTAACAATAATATTTACATTTTGATACTTCTTCAAAATTAATACATTTATCTTTGAAAAAATACATACCGTATTCGATGTAATAAGCGCTCAGAAAGTTCTCAAAATTTAGAAATTGGGGGCTCTTATTAGAATAAAATTTTGGTGAAAAAAAAAAAGACTTGAAAGATCGTAAATTTCGTGGTTTATGCTGATAGCCTGAAATGATACAAAAGAAAAGTGTGTGTATTATACACGACAGATATATTTTTCCAGTGAGTGAGGGAGTGAGTTGGGTTTAACGCCGCTTTTAACAGTATTCCAGTTATATCACGGCGTGCCAGCTTAATGTGGGAGGAAAGCCCGAAGTGATGCAGGTCTAAGACGTTTACCACTTCGTTGAAACCCACGAGCACGGGTATGGTGCTGACAAACCTAGAAACATAATAGGTGTGAACCGGGATTCGAACCCACAATCATAGGTTTCTGGCGTGCCCAAGGGACGCAACTGTGCACAGCGAATCACGGGCCTAAGACGACTGGGCCACCCGTGCCCCCATATTTTTCCAGAATTCAATTGCCCATAATTAAGGGGGCATATAACACATGAGTGCGGATTATACACGAATAAATAAGTCTTGTGTACATTGATCAATCAAAAGGAATTGGGATTGTTTACTCGCCATAATATTAGCAAAGATTGCCGTGGGCGCATATTAGAGCAGGGCAGTTATTACGTCGAATACGGTAATGGATTACAAGTTTAATCAAGGCTTTGCGAGGATAATACTTCTGTATTTACAGGAAAACAACTCTTGTAATACATCAAGTGAATAACTCGTTGTACATGTCATTTTGAGTATGATAACAAGGGATGTAACTCTTGCTAGAATCTCACTAATCAGGACCTCTTTTTAATCTGGACAAATGATTTGGTCCAAAACAAGTCAAGTTTAGACAGTTAACAATGTACTTGAAAATGATATAGTGAAAATCCATTTTATATAACCAGCTAGAAATCTACAGACAGGAAGGTTGAAGTAGGGATGTGGAAATATGTACGACATTACAAAATATATCTTGGCAGCATAATGCTGTCCAATTAATGTCACCATTGCAAAAACAAAATTCAAAACTTTCCACTCCCTGTATCCTTATTTTTATTTTATTTTTTATCCCTTTTATTGATTTGCTAATTGGACAATTTTTCATCAAATTTAGAGACACACCATCACCATTTACTTTGTGAAATATTTCTGTGAGTGAAGTGTTCACTGAAAAGCCCACTTACAAATTGCGACAATAATCGGTTTTATTCCAAAATGACGCTTATGGCTTGTACACCAATCATTCTCATCATCAATGTTAGTTCTACTGTCAGATTTTGACAAATTGCCAACACATTCTGGGGTTTATTGCTAACAAGAACTCATTCTAAATGCGTCATTTTGATTATTTAGATAGGCCAGGCTTAAAACTTCTTGATAAAAAACCCTCCAGGCGAAAGAGAATTCTGATTAGATAATATCACGCCTCATTAGGTGCTTGTGGAGAGAGGCGCAGTGTGTAATCCACAGGACAAGGAGAATGACCTTGATCACTGCACAACTTCCCGCTGCATCAAACATCACTTGTAACGATTCCCGGATGAAGGATCACAAAATACAATCTTCATTCCCAAACCCTCTTTCAAAACACTATATTTGAACATTTCACTGTGGTATGACTAAAATTTAGCGCATAATCATCAGTTTAAAAGCCATTATATCTATCATGAAATAGATTAACTAAACCTTTTCTAAAATAGAAAGAATCAAATCTATGGTATAGGTGCTTGAAGTCTGAAAGATTTAATCATTTGTTATGTCTATATTCTCATTATCTCTGACCTTCCAATACTCTCATTATATCAGCAATATTACTATCATTACAGCCTGTAAGTAGTCAAATCTTAGCCACTCAAACAAGTGGTTGATAGCATGAGTACCAAGCCATTCCAATGGGGTCATTGACACAGTCAGCCTGGTCCGAAATTGTGATCACCCGATGTTTTTTAGCCACTCTTGTAACAAGTATTGGGTTATGTGACTTGAGATGTTCTGCCACGGAATCCCCACAGGGAGACGAGTCATGTTGGATACCTACTGTATGAGTGTCACAAGCTGGTAATACTTGGAAAAACAACTAAGTTGCTTAAAAAGTTCAAGCTCAAATATTGTTTTATTATCCTTTCCTCTTTCACACTAAGGGTGAAACGATACACCGATATTCCGATGCATCGCGATACTTGACCCATGATACAATATACGATAAACGTGGGCCCATTTATCGATACGCCACGATAGGGAACGCAAATCTCAAGTACAGCGATTCCTCGCTATTGTGCCTTTCAATAAACCGCTAACTTCGTTATAGCGCGCCGTAACGCATGGCTCCCAAAATCGTACTTACATTTTTAATAAGCTAAGGGTTTACACCGACAGATGTTTTTCCCCATCTCATAAAACATTATCAGCTGATCCCCGCAAGCACATAACAATGGAAATACAAGTCAGCAAGTCCGAACTGAAGTACGCAATTCAATACCATTATTATACTATCTTGTTATTAAAACGTGTTCATTATATATCTGGACTTGTGTTTGTAATATATTTTATTAATTTTACTCAAAATTTCATTTAATATTGTTTTCATTAAGTTAGGTGAAATCGTGTGTGAAGAGATACAGCAACCACGGTCAGATTACCGCTTTTGACGCATTGAAACAAACTTTAGTTGCTAGAGAATGGATACATATATGAAAAAAGGCTCTACTTTGACTCGTCAAAAGTCATATTTGTGGCAATTTGGCTAATATATGTCAACAAAACGTTTTCACAATCGAAATACATGTAGCACGGGAAGTCCCTAGGGTGACTGGTCAAATTGTTCCATACATAAAAATATACACGATATTGGAATATATTATTCCTGATAAAACAAAAAATTCAGATACAATTTCTTCGACCATTGCATCAAAATTCTTTGACGTTGTATCACTGGTGGAGCACATTAATTATTATCTGGTGTTTAAACTTTGAATTGTTTTTAAGGAAAGTTAGAGAAAGTTCCACTTTGAAGCTGAACAACTTGAGTAGTCTTGTTATTATAAAATAATTTTGACTGTTCCAAAATCATGAAAGGTTCAATCTTGACATGCTTTAAGTCTTGTTTTTTTATCATTGCGTATCGAGATATGTATCGTATCGTGACCAGAATATCGAGATGCGTATCGTATCGTGACCTTCCTGTATCGTTGCAGCCCTATTTCACACACATATATGTTTTTAACCAAGGGATCCTCTCTATGTATGTAAGGTTTCATAACTTACCTCCTTTTCCTTTGCTGATCAGATTCCGTGCTCTAAGAACTGAAACAAAGCACAACATGGATTATTCAAGAGTCAACATTGATCAACAGAATATATTTTTGATATGTCTGTGTTCTCTATGAAATAATCTACCACTGTCTACAGCACATATAAGGTCAATGCACATTGTGCAGAATGTCTTGTATTTTGTCTACACAGAATGCTACATACTCGTTTCATGTAAAGGAATACAGAAAGCCACTTCACAAACGTTTTGGAAAAATGTTGGATGAATAATGTTCAGTGGTGCAGTGGGTAATATTCCAGTGATATCACTGCAGCCTATAAATAATCAAGTCTGGACCAGTGACTGAAAACATGAACACCAATCTACGACTGAGTGGGAGACAAGTTACAGAGCCTGACCACAGATATCTATTCTTAAAGTTTATAGTTGAAAACTTTATTTTGGCTTCAACTAGGGCTGATTGGGCTTCTTAGTAAATCTGAGGTACAGACAAGTTTATTCCAACTAGATCACAGTTCATTTTCAACAAGTAGTTTAAGTTACACAACTTCATATGGCGAGAAAACAACCAGTCCTTACAGATTTCTAATAGCCTCAGACTAGCAGACGGGTATGGTGCTGACACATCTAGAAACATTATTGAGGCGAACCGGGATTCGAACCAACAATCATAGGTTTCTGGCATGCCCACGCAACTCTGCAGAGTGAATCGCGGCACCTAAGACGACTGGGCCACCCGTGCCCTCTACATGATAACACATGATGCTGATAGTCAGGTTCAGACTTGTAGACTTGGTAGTTTTCGGCACAGACTGAGAAGGAACTATTGTCTCAAACATAAAATCTTTAATTGCAATGTCATCAAGTCCTCATCTTCTGTAGATATGGAAGAGAATGGTACTGACATTAAGACACCACTGCCACAAGCTTGCCCTGTAAGTGACCATCAGCGTTCAGGTGAACGTCCTGTGGATGAGACCATCTGGAGGATAAGGCAATCAATGCTCAACACTGACTGGTCTATAGTATCCCATAGACAGGAACACAGCACAGCATCAATGCACCCAACAGTGTCTGTCCATACCCTACTTTAAGTTTACTTAATGATTACTGACCAACCAATACAAGTGTAGCAGGGCATGGAGTCATCCTACACATGACATCCTTCCCCAATGTCAGCTTGCTGACAGGGTTAACCTCTTTGGTCATCATGGTCATGCAGACATTAGGCGCCTGTCCGACTTAGGATCAGAAGGTCTATGGTTTGAATCCCAACACAGGACTTTTATGGCCGCTACATTGGCACGTTCATATTAAATTTGAGTTACAAATTACCCTACAATGTGGCATGGGACGTGCCTTCTGTTGATGAGGGAGAGTGTAGCAGTGTGTGGAGTCATCCCACACATGGTAGTATTACCGTGTCATCTTGCTGACAGGGTGAGACTTGGATGAGAAGGTCTGTGGTTCAGATTCCATCACAGGACTTCTGGCTGCTACACAAGTACTGCCCACTGCTTGTGTATTGAGTGAGTTGTTTGGTTTAACAGTATTCAGTCATATCACAGTGTGCATGTAGGAAAGAGTAAGTTATGCAGGTCTTACACATTGACTGCTGTGGTAAAACCATGGATGTATACAACTGCGGTGAAAACCTCAAGATAAGGATCATAATCAAGATGAATCTGAGAATAAAAACAATGTTCAGCAGATCCTGGCACATCACTGCCTGGCTTCCTGTCTGATAAAGAATATCAAACTGGCTACATCTTAAATGGGGAGCACATGCAGTCAGTGATTACATACATACAATACTGAGCCCCATTCTCGTTTAGATCTTAGCGCTAAGACGATCATATAATAAAACTTCCATTCTTAAACATATGCATTGATCATAGCACTTTGTGGAACAGGTTCCTGTTGACAGACATCAACCAGAAAAGTATTAAAGTGATCACTCCCAACATAAAAGAACATCCCCTAAATGCCATACATGCTTCACCATAACATCAGACCATTATAAAACTTTGTGAAACTTTCATCCCACCAGCATCACATCAATTTCATGTCCCTGAGTACCTAGATGCAGAAAATCACTCAGGTGCCACAGGGACGGAAATTAACGCTTAACCATAGGCCTGAGGCTAGTAGAAATTACCATGGGCTAATAGAATTATAATTCTGACTGTTATGTAAGCGTCTGACCATTATTATTACAATTAATGAGATAAACTTCCATTAAACACATTCCAACCTATACCCCTGCATAAGAATTGTATTTCTGTCAGCCTGTAGGGCCAGTGAGGATTTTGACACCTGCTGGAAATGTATTTTGCATCACAAAGCCAGTGCAGTAACATTCTGACCGAGTCTTAACTCTTTCATCACTGGCTGCCCCAGAGTTATGTCCCTTGAGACCCTGCAGTCCCTGACACTGACAAGGCCTGTACACTGGCCTCCCTGGCAGTATTATTGGAAAATCACACTATCATTTTTGATGCACTTTTTCTACCAGAAACTTGCTTTTAATATACATTTATCATATACCATTGTAAAGAGGATTAAGTAAACTTTAACATTCTTTGTTGTTATTGTCTCTAACCTTTGTTATTTTCTAATTACAGGTGTTTACAAGTGAAATAAAACTTGAAAACACTGAAAAAATGAAAACAGACAATGAATTTTGGCTCAAATTGTATTACAAATCACAAAAATAAATCACAGATACAAGGTAAACATAACACAGTGGTCTTGTCATCTTGGACGGCACAGGTAATCCCAGGTGTTATAGGTAAATTCTCTTCATGCACATCTGTAAACAAATAAACAAGTTTACAACTCTTGGTACTGACTTTGTTTTCTATACTGATGTCACATATTACTTATGATACACTTACAGCCTCTTAGGTAAACTCGTTAACACAGGTAAACTTGTTAACGCAGGTAAACTCGTTAACACAGGTAAAAACACAAATATTTGATTTATTTTGTTCTTTTTCAGGATTTGAAACAAAAATTAAGTATTTAAGTTTTTAAAAAGTTATTTATCACATTATCTGAACATTGAACCACAGCTACTATAAGAATGACATCACAGGGAAGATAACACAGATTGATCTGAAGAGGGAAACATTGTAAAAGGACTGAAAGATCGTAAATTCAAGTTCTGCAAATATACAAGTTGTGATAACATATTTACAATACACTGCTATTTACAATTGCATAATAAATTAAATCAGTACTTTATTAAATCAATTAATAAATAAATAATCATTACAGTTACTAAAATTTAAATTAAGATGTAAAAAACAAGAAAACAAACATGAATATGGAAATAAATTTTATTCAAATTGAGCGAAATATAAGGACATACGACAAACCGGCAAACTACAATTCGGATTGCGATCAGAAAAATAAATTTAAAAAAAAACAAACAGATACGTCATGCCACTCACCTTTGTTGTTGTTGTGATCGCTCGTTCACGTGTAGGCTGCATTCTCATTCGTCGCACTGATAATCTGTTCAAACACAGAATCATTGTAAAACAGTTGGAAAAAATCAATAGCACGACTCTTCACTCACCGTGTCAATATATATTCTTGAATCCGGTCGCCTCTTCAAAATCCCTCATGTCTCCACTGTCGTGTGTCCCTCTGCCACTCCCATTCTCGAAAGTTGGCGGGGGGGGGGGGGGGGGGGGGGGGGACACCTCGTCGAAACCGTCAAAATCTTCACAAAAAAATTCGCGAAATTCCCTCTCCCCTTCGCGTAAATTATTCAATTCAAACACATTATTATTCCCGATATAGTCGTTGTTAATCATCTGATCGCTATCCGAATCGTAGTTGGCCGCCATTACGCTTGATTTACGATTCAAGCGAGAAAAATACCTGTCGCGAAAACAGGTGACATACCCGCGATTTTCGCGCCAAAAAGACGGGGAAATTCCATCGAATGACGTGTCAATACGTGTAGATCTCGTTTCCATATTTAGAACGAGATTACACACGAGAAAGGAAGTAGAAAGAGCGATTTTGTAAACACGCTCGCGCCGCCCGATTTATCGGGCAGCCGGGTTCTGGGCCTCGGCTTATGCTGCCCGATTTTTCGGGCAGCCGGGTCCTGGGACACGGTTTATCCTGCCCGATAAATCGGGCAGTCGGGGCGAAAGGGTTAATATTTGAACTATTTTGTGGCAGAAGAACATTTGAAATTTGAAAGTCTTATTTAATATAGATTTGTAACCTTCTGCTGGCAGAAATAAAATCTCACCACCTCTGTGGGTTTGTTTGGTTTTTGAGTTAATTGCCATCCTTGTGCTGCCTTCATTCTTTGCTCGATGCAATGCACCACATTCACTGTCCTACTAAACTTTTATGTGGATCACACCCATCAATGTCATCACTGATCCAACAAACTGAAAGAGGGACTGCAGTGACATGCCAGCTGACTGTCTGACTCCGTTAACACTCAATCCTGAATATATAAGCCAGTGTAAATCAAGGGAGTGTCACGGAGTGTTCCAACTCTCCTCAATCCTAAGTCTCCGGTCACTGTGTTCCACTATTCTCCTAACCTAGTATTAACCTGTTCGTTTATTGTGTTCTACATAAGATGGTGAGTACAACACAGTACATGAGACTTCATCTGTCCATCAGGGTGTAGTACCCAACAATACATCACCCCCACAATGACCCCCTTGGTTGACAAGTTTACAGAGGGCTGGACACTAATTGTCTGTCACGTCACAAAGAAAGGTGGTTGTGTACTGGGGTCTACAAGCATGTATACAAATCATCACAAAGACTGTCCACTCTGTAATGGAAGGATTCATTGGTCTGTCTTGACAGTAAGGGGTTAAACAATTCACATAATGTTTACTGAACTCAAGGCATGTGTGAACATAGCCTGACAATAAAAGTCAGTTACCCAAAATTCATGAGTCTAAAATGCATTTGGTCCTTATCCAATTAACACTGACACTGCCTTGGGGTAATTTCAAACTTAAACCTTAAAACTTGAGTACCCAGT